GACTCTTGTTGCGGGACGAGCTTGTTAGTGCTGCAGCTGGTGCTGATGCTGGGCTTGGTGCATTGCCTCGGACTTGGGGTAGGAGGGGCAGCGACGGCAGCGATAGCGGGACACTGGGCTGCTGCTCGTGCGGGAGCGGGTGGTGGTGCAGGGCGGTAGCTGACGAGGGGGTTGCTTCGGCGCTTTTGTAGAAACTTCTACAAGAAGTCGAATGAGTCAAATGCGGTACAAAAGCGCCAGAGCTCCTGCTCCTCCCCAGCTGTCCCCCATGGCTGCAGCTCCGCGCCAGCGAACGCGCCCCTAGCACGAGCACAGCAGCTCTGGTCATTCCCCCTCAAATACCACAAAAGGCCACCAGCGGATTGCGATCCCGACGCAACCGTCGATTGTCTCCTCTTTTCCTCACTCCAGCTCCTCTCGAGAACGAACAACGACCCTTCAGCTGTAGCCACAAGTGACCGAGCTCCTTTCAGCAGAGAAACGCCTTGTCGAAATCCAGGCCCAGCCGGACGTATATCCGCCTTGAACCTTCGCCGGTGTCGGGTTTCTTATCGCCTCTCTTTGGCCCTGGCCTTCCGCCCGTCGACCTGAACTCACTCGAGCTTACGCTTTGCGACGGGATATTCCCTTTTCCACACCACCCACCTTTCGGGAAAACCAGCTCAGCGGTCAGCGTATTCCTCTTCACACCTCCGCGCGCACCCGATTGCGGCGTCCGTTGTCCCACGCTGCGTTTTTCGTTGTGTCTCTCCGTGCTGCGATCCTAGTGGCCGGGCTCGAGCTCTGCGTTTAATTGAACATTCTCGTCGAGTCTGGTTCGTTGTCGTCGTCCCGGGTCGGCAGTTGCGGTTCGAGTTTTGAACGGGGTTAGGAAGTTGGCGAGGCGGGAAGAAAAAGTTCCAGCGAGACCCGGGCTCTAGAAGCAGCCGCCCCTAAAATGCTGTTGCACGGGGCCCAATCGCCCTCCCACGCCCTGGATGCCCACGCCATGGAGGCGGACCAGCACCAACATCAACAGACGAGGCAGTTGAGGCGCAAGAGGAAGGCCGAGTCTCAGGACAATGAGCGGTTGTCCAAGAGACTCAGTCTCTTGAATTTGGGTAAGCCACAGTTTTCCCTCCCATTGAGTTTTGTTGCAACATGCAGTGCTGACTCCTATGCAGAGAAGAATGGCCAGAAGCTCTACGTTCCCGTGGAGAATCCCATCGCCTCCGCATCAAATGCATCCCCAGACGTCATTCCGTCAGCAACACCATCAAGCACACCGCACAGCGTTCGTCGCCGCCGTGACCGCAAACCCCCTGCAGATGATGAGGTGATGCAGCTTGACGACTCAAAGTACAAGGTCTACATCTACGATATTGACGACGAGCTGTCTTCGTCTGAGAGCGAACCCGAAGAGGGCAAACTGGTCTTCCTGCCGGATATTGAGAAGCACCTGCGCGCCACTCGCATTCCCCCTCATATCCTCGCCAACGACGAAGGCCAACTCGCTGGCATGCAGATGGTCCTCTACAACGAGCCCACGTCGCTGACTATTCCCCAAGAGCAAGACAGCGTCCGCAAGGCCATCGTCGAGTCTCGTGCCCGCATGCGTGAGAGACAGCGTCTCGAACGTGAGGGCAAAGGCGAGCCGGTGCAGATGCCCCCGCCGTTTATTCCCCAACAACACATTCCTCCCCCGCCCGCCGAATTCGTATCCGCCCCTCAGGCTTCGGCACCTGTAGAATACGACCCCGATGCCATGGACATGGACTAGCAAGCACCTTTCCAGGCAAGTAAACATTTGAGTACCTACGTATATATACACATAACGATATCCACGGCTGTAAGGCGGGGCAAATCGGCACCAGTAGCCGGGCCAGCGAGGCGTTTTATGGTATCATTTTTTGATCTTATTGTCATGGTTACTGCTTTGTACGATTTACAACAGTTATAGTCATCATACCGAGACGTTGAGCCTCGCAATCGCACTGGACATCCAGCCTCTGAGTGCGTGAGAAAATACAAAGTAGTCTTTCATCATGATTCTGCTCGCCAACTTCATCGTCTCATCTTGAACCAGCAAATGCTTCTTCTTCCTCTTCACCGACGCTACGCCATACACGCTTTCCTTTCGAAACACCAAATCACTGCGCCCTGTAAGGATACGACTGGCCAGTGTGGTTTGCCGGCATGGCGGCGGGCGGCGGAGGCGGGCCCGGGGGCGGGGTGATGCCGTACTCCTGCGACGGGTCGACCTTGGAGCCTCCATCGGGGGGAGCGTACATGGGCGGCCTCGCGGCGTTGGGGTCGTACGTTGGGGGCGGCATGCCCTGCATCCCATAGTAGCCTTGCTGCTGCTGGTAGTACTCGGGGCGGTAGTTGTTGTACGTCGCCTGCGGCCAGGCGTAGCGGCTGTCGACGCGGGCGAGCTGGGCTCTGCTAAACAGCCAGCGGTGGTAGCCGAGAGGGAGGAGACCCTTCTTGAGTCGCCTCTTGCCGTGCATGTAGCCGATGATGAGGAACGCGGCGAAGAGCGTTGTGAGGCCTAGGAAGACGGACCACTTGACGATAACGCCTGTCTGCAATGTACGTTAGATAATTTGTCTCGGCGATAAACAGCGTTTCGATAAACTTACCCTGCTGTACCACCATGGAATAGCACGGCCATTCTGGATGACCCAACCGGGAGGCAAGTCGTTGGCGTTAACGACGGTTTGACGAGCGTCCAACATGGCGTAGGCGCTCATGATGTGTGAAGTGTGTTATAAAAAGTAGCGATCGTCGCCCTTATTCCTCCTTTCCAATCCTTCCCTTCGCCAAGCCAGTCAACGATCCCGCTACTTCGCTGTCGTCGAGCGTGGCTTGTAGACGCCTGTTGTTAATGTGATGGAAGTGGGCCGCAGATCAACTACGCCGGATGGGAACCAACAAAGTCGGATTGGGGAGGGGACGATGTTTGGTTCGTGGGATGTCAAAGTAGTGTTCAAGACTAGCGCCAAGAATTCAGTTGATGCGGGAGGTGATTTATTTGAATCAAGCAGGAAAACTAAAAAAGACGAACGCGAAAGAGAGTCGAGGACCTTATTTGACGGGCGAGGAAGGGAACAGGCAGGGCCTGGAACCGAGCAAACCAGCCACCCATACAAAACAACCCCCGTCTCTTCTTGCTCTCGGACATGGGGTTGGGTGCGGGTGCAGAGGTGGTGCTCGCCCAGGCGGGCGCGCTGTGGTCGGCCAACTTTTTTTTGGGTTTTGCTCCATCGCATGGTTAACTCTCTTCCCTTCTCTACTGCGGTACTGAGTGTGCTCCATAGTAAAGGCAGGTATTCTGTGGGGAAAGGGGTGGTTGGATGTTGATTATGGTGTTTCCGGGTTGGCTACCTCTCGGAAACCCGTCTTTCATTGGCCTGTCTGACAGGAAAGGTGGGGCAGAGATCTCCCCTACGAGCCGCCAACCTGCCGTTCTGGCGAAGCTTGTCGGGGAGCGGGTGCTAGGCGTGACGATGACCGACCGGTACGTGCCTGATCTGCGGCAGCGCTGATGCATCAGAACCGTTTCATCCCTCTCGGGTCCGACGACCTGGCGAGGCTTAGAGGCAGCAACAGAGACCACAAGACGGTCGCTGTCGCCCATCGCCCAGCGGACCGGCGACAACAGGGCAAACACGATACACTCTGCGCCCGACGTTGCGAAGTTCGAAGCCGTTCAGCCGTGTTTGTCGCTGACCGCGGCCAGCAGCCAGCCAGTCGAGCCCAAATAACGACCAGAAACACCACCGGGAGGCGGATGTATATACTCGACAAGACGGCCTAATATCCCCACGAACAGATCCACAACGCTTGGAAACCCACTGGTGCTTACACCTTTGCACCTCTCTTTTTCTGATGGTTCCAGACGAGAGTCATTGGTCGGCAGCTTTGTTGTAGATGCCGTCACATACCGTAGTATTCCCTCCTCGGAGCGAAGACGATGCGGAAACCCTTTCTGCCCCTCGCTGAGTCGCTGATTATGGCCTCACTCGCGATATTCTCCCGCATCGCCCACGCCGAACAGGGCACTGAGTAATCACCACCGGCCGCCAGAATCGGAGACATTAACAGGCCTCCTGTGGTCTTAATAACACACTGACCACCGCTGATGCATGCCGAATGGACAGGAAGATCGGATCATCGGCTGCGTCAGCCACGGTGCCATCATCAGCTGGGCATGGTTCAGAGACGCAGAGAGGAGGCGAGAACGAAGGGGACGTGTGTCTGCATGTAATCAGCAACCCAGCGCTAGTAAGGTGGTCTCTTGCTGCGTAGAACCCGAGTTCCGATTCTCATATGGCCCAGGCTGGTGCATACCACCAGTAGCCAGCCGCATGACCCTGATGAGCAAGATAAGGCTTAGACGAGCGTAAGGCGAAGCTTGATTGAAGTAAGGCACGTAGCAGATCCGGGAGACCCTGGCGTGATCAACCTGCTCGTCCAAGCCTTCTCCTCTTCAAGGCGAGATGGGGGAGGGGCCGCAGCACCAGTCGACGAGCAGCAGCAGCAGCACCATACCTAACCGCTTGCCGAAAAGCACAGGCACAGACACATACACAGGCACAGGCGGAAAGGTGGAAAGAATAGAGTTGTTGTGCGCACTTTCCCTTTCATCTCGTTTTCCGCGCCCCTCCACTTCGACGACGTAGGGCTGTTCTGCCGGAGCTAATTAGCAACAGACCCCGTTGCCCGCGTTATGCTTGAAAAACTCAATCCACCTCGACCGATTCCGCGGTTCACTAGGTGGTTTGGTCTCGGGCCCTTTCTGCCGTAACTGTAGCATCTGCCCAACCAATCCCATCTTCAAGATGGAACAAACAAAGTCGAGATAGCCACTTTCCTCTACCAACGTAAAATCTTCGGGAAGGATCTCGAGTTAGAGCTAAATGTCGGGCTGCTCCGAGCGCGGGAACGTCACGGAAGGCGTTTGTCGCGGGGTGCAGTCTTGGCGAGCAGACGAAGCCCGCGTGTGGCAAGCTTGTCGCTCAGCCGTCCCTCCACCATCCGGTATCCTCGTCGTAGCCAATGACTTCGAAATCAATATTCATGCTCTTCAGCATCGTTCCCAGAGTGAACTCCTGCAACATGTCAGTTACCCGCGTGTCTCCTCCATTGGATCAGAAAGTCTCACCTCGTCTTCATCCTCGTCTCTGTCGTCTCTGTCTCCGTCATTCTCGGCTCCGACGTTGTCTGGTGAGTTCTCATCCTCCTTGTCGGTATCCCCATCTCGATCTCTTTTAGGTTCCTCCTCCATCATCCGTTCCAAAAAGCTCTTCTGCTCCTCCCTCCTCGTCTTCCTCCAAGCTTTCATCCCACCCATGCTCTGAACCCTCTCCTTGGACGTCTCAAACACCTCCTCAGCAGCCTGCCGGCTCGCCGCCCTCCACTTCGCAATCAGCACGACCAGCTCCTCGTCCGTCTCGGACCCGGCTCCGGCCCGTCCTCCTCGGATCCGCTCCGCCTGTCTGATGATCTCCTCGCGGCCCGCCACATCTCGCGCAGTCCTAATACCCGTCGATGTGCCGTCGCCTGTCCTTCTCATAGGCGAGGGTGAGACTCCGCGCTGAGGTCGCGATAAGCTGAACGGACGACGGGTGGGCGTGCTGAGCTGCTTGGCGGGGGTCGTGAGCTGGATCCCGCTCCTTTGTGCCGTGGTACCCGTAGCGCTACCGCCGCACCGGGTCGACGATGAGTTTGTATCGACCGCACCTGTTCGTCGCGACAATTCGGTAGCGTCTCCCGCTGCCGCGTCGCGGTCGCGCACTAGCGCCGGTGACTTGAATGGCTTCCGTAGCGTGTTGCTTGCATCATCGAGCCGTCGCCTTTTGGCTGCTGGTGTGTACATTGTCAGATAAATGATGCTTGTTCAGAAAAGCCGGAATGTCATTGCGGTTCCACTACGTCATGACGCTACCGAGGAGTTGGTTAAAGTGGGAGTTCCTCCCGCTTCCAATATTCGATTGTTGTTAGCGGGTAGTTTGAACAGAAGCCCATACCTGCCGCCAGACATTCATTCGCTTATGAGCAACATCGGCCTCTCGCTTCAAAAGACCCCTCTGCAGGGTTTTGTGTCCAAGTCTTTCCCGAGTCCAGCGGGACGTGCATCACTGCGTGAACAAGGGCGTGGCCAATCGGTAGCCACCCACCTAGTGGCTTCTCATGATCTTGGCCCGGCAGGTCATAGCTCACGTCATTAAGGAACACATAGAATATTTCAGATCAACACTCATTCAAACTGGCCAACCAACCACTGCCTAGATAATCTACAATAAAACACCAAACGCCCCTGGATCCTCCTCTCTTCCTGCCTTTGATCATCTCACATATGTCCCATGTGCACATCAAATCCCATGAGCCGTTTCGAGGATGAGAACCTTCCTCCCAAACAGAAACAAAAGATTAAAAATCAAAATAAAACAATACTTGTCCGTGTCCCTTTTTGCGCCTGTACAATGCAGCTTGGTAATCCACCAGACATAGAAGAGAACGTGGACTAAAAGACCCTGCGTGACGCTAATGCCGTGAAATGAAAGGAAAGAGGTATCATAGAACCAAATGCACTCCATATTTGGTCTGAAGGAGGCCAGAATGCAGGTAAGATGGTACAGAAATGCGGCAAGACGAAGGGATATCAAAGCTTTAAGAGTCAACCCTGACCCTCTTGGGCTCGTTGCCAACGTCGGGCCCATCGTGGGGCCCGGTTGCGCTGATTTCGGGACTCTTGCGCTTGGTGCTGGTGGCATTGTCGTCCCTCAGAAAACTGGGACCTGAGCCAACCACAGGAGTCGCGAAATTCAATGGGCTAGGCAGAGTGTTGCTGTCACTGCCACCGCGCGAGTACCACTCGGGGTAGAAGCTGCTCGGGCTTGGGAGGAATTCATTGTTCAGGAATCGGGAGGGAAGAGCAGAGACGGGCGTGTCGATGTTCATGTTGCTGTTCATGTTGTTGTTGTTGTTTTGCTGCGGCGGCGGCCGAGCAAACGGGTTGGGAGGGCCCGTGGCACCGGCTGACAGGAGCGTCTGGGCGGACGGGGATGGCGGTGGCAGCACCATACCGGAAGAGTGCGAATCGGATGCATGGCGCCGAGTTGTCTGGGATGTAGCATCTGTCGAGTTGCGAGGAGAGTTTGACTCGGCAGTTGCGCTACCGCCATCCGAAGGTTCGTCGGGAATCTCCACCCTCAAACGGGGACGCGCACCACCTCCAATCTTCATGCTATTGGTGCGAGAAGGTGGAGTAAACGTTGTCTCTGGGATAGACGACACGGAAATGTTGCGAGTCTTGTTTAGCGACGTGGAGGTGGCGCGCTGAGGCAAAGGTGGAGACGAGGTAGATCCATTGGTCCTAGAGACAGCGCCGACATCAACAGATTGGGAGCGGCTGCCTTCAATCTTGATGTTCGCCTGGTCTGGCAGCTGAGGACCTTTTCCGTTGCTTTGATCGGAGGCAAATGAGGCCAAATGCTGGGAAAGAATGGAGCGGTTTTCGTCAATGGGCGTGAAGATGCTGTGTTGCTTGCGCTGCGGCAGCTTCTTAATAGCACTGTCGGTGTTCAGTAATGGCGGCTGAGGTCTATCTTGAGCTTCAGATCGCGGCTCCATTGGGGCCGGCATCGCGGTCTCCTGCGGTTGCGGCGGCGGCGGCGGTAGTTGCTGCTGCTGGGGCTGAGGCTGGGGCTGGTGCTGAGGTTGAGGTGACGGGTGCGGCGGCTGCTGTTGAGACTCAAGCTGCTGAGGCTGTGGCGGCGGGGGTGAGATGTGCGGCGGCTGAGGAGGCAACTGCTGAGTGGGAGGCTGCGGCGGAGATGGCGAGATCCGAGAAACCTGAGGTCCTGGGCCTTGTGGCGGTCCTTGCGGTTGTGGGTAGTTGGGCGGCATGGAGCGACGCTGCTCTTCGATGTACTGCTGCATGTGCGGGGGATGAGGGTTCGGCGGGTACTGAGGATACTGAGGGCCATGTTGGGGAATTCCGTGAGGCATGTTAGGCGGCATGTTGGGCTGGTTTTGCGGGTTGTAGATGGCCGGGTTGGGCATGTAGGCGAAACCGTTGACAGGAGGTTGCTGAGATCCAGGAGGGCCGACGGGCTGAGGGCCCATGTTCGGACCCATGCGGCGGATGTCTTGCCTGGAAGCGGGACGCGATCCCATTCCCGGTTGCGGCGTATGCCCGCGTTGCACGGGATGCCCGGGGTGTTGAGGGAAGGGCATGCCATTAGGAATAGGCGGCGAGGCTGACGGGGTGTGGTGTCGCATGTGGGGGAACGGCGCTTGTCCTTGGAACTGAGGGGGGATCATCTGGGGCTCCATTGACTCTCCGTGGGGAGGCGTGCCATCGCCCTCCTCATCTTCGTCTTCGTCGTTGCCGCCGTTGAAGTCAGAGGGGCCCTTGTGCTCGTTCGGGCCGCCGTGCTGCGCGAGGGTTAGCCTCTAGTGATCGCGACGTGCTCTTTCGTCTGCGACTTACGTATGTGTATCTGGTGATCATCTCTCGCATGTCTGTGGAAGAATACTCGTACAGCTTCTTGTTGCTGCCAAAGATGAAGACAGCGACGTCTACTGAGCAGAGGACAGAAAGCTCGTGCGCCTTCTTGAACAGACCGCCCTTGCGCTTGAGAAAGGTGCTGTATGCGACGCGACAGGTCAGCCAAGAGCCGCGATAAATCACGACGAGCGCGGGGTGGCAAGCTTACACAGAGCGGTTTCTGTCATCCTTGATAGCTTTAATCTCAATCTTTCTGCGACCCATCTTGACCCGGACGCTCTACGGAGCTACTGGCGCGGGTAGATGGTATATGAGAGGAGGGGTTTGGGGGTGGTACCGGGCCGAGGTCGAGGTTGAGGTCGAGGTGAACGACGTCGAACCGATTGGCAAGAGAGCGGCGGCGGCGGCGAGGTCTCAGGCGGTGCGTCGACTGATCCTGTCGAGGTGACTCGCGAGACAAGTTGAGGCTCGAGGAGGCGAACGTGACGGTTTTCGGAGCAACAAGCTTGGCTGGTCAACTGGAGCGGAAAGCAGAAGTTTGGCCGGGGAGGGCTGATTGCTTTTATCTAAATGGCCTGTCTCGTGGGCTGTAATCCCCAACTGGTGATCCGTCAGTCGAACTGGTTCGCTGGGTGGGCAGGGACAAGGCAGCGCAGCGCATCCCGGGGTCTTGGGGATCTGAAGCGATGCAGGCGTTGGGGTTTGGAGCAGGGGAGAGCAGCTCAAGATGCGTCAAGAGAACGTACATTGATCCCATTACAAGTGCAGATGCGACAGGTCTGGGATGGACAGGCGTTGTGGTGCAGGACGATGGGGCTGAATCTGGCGTGGATGATTCTAATAATAGACGCGATCGTGTTCACCTTTTTTTCCTGGGAGCGCGGGAAGACAGACAGGAAGGAGGGAAGGGGAGGGAAAGAAAAAAAGAGAAAAAGGTGGTGGCAGCAGCAGCAGCAGCAGCAGTAGTTAGGTAAAGGGTACGGTACAGTTGCAGCGGAAGGGGGTATCAGCCAGTCAGAAGAGTAGAAACACAGAAGCAGCTTGATGACTTTTGGGAAGGGGAATGGAAAGACAAGGGGATGTGTGGTGGATGATGGGATGGGATGGGTTTGACGGAGTGGGAAGCGTGGGAGCAGAGCGAACTGGGAAAGGACGTGGAAAAAAAGAATGGGCGGGGGGTGTGCTCCAGTACCAGTACCCGGCACCGTTTCTTGCCTACGCAGTACCTTACTCTGTCACCTGTGTGTGTGTGTGCGCGCGCGGTGTCGATTGGTGGTGTGGTGTGGTGCGGTGTAAGGTAGGTAGTCTTGAAGGCGGGCAGCAGAGAGTGAGAGTGAGGGTAAGGCAAGAACTGAGGTGAGGTGAGGGAGGTACCAAGTGTGCAGGCATATGGCGGGCCAGCGGCCCTCTTCTTGTCTCCAGGCCCTGCAGCCTCCACTTTGCAGCCGTCGGTCAGCTCCTGTGCTCCCAAACTCGACGAGTGTCTCCGTGCCCGCCGTCAAGCTTGAAGCCAGCCGGCCGCCGCCCTCCACCTGAACCTCGCACCTCACCTTCGTCCTCACCACCACCGACAGGGCAAGGTCGCGAGGCTCTTGGTGCGTGCGTTCTATGACTGGGGGTCCTGGTGGCCGTTGCGGACGCTGGTGAAACGACAACTTCAGGAGGCAGGGAATGAGATGGGAGCTGAGACTGGCCGCCCGCACTGTCTAGGCCTGCGAAGGAACCCATGTGTCGTACCGTGTGCAGATGCAATCTCCACCGATGTCCTGCGCACTGTATCAGGGTCTGGTGGGTCCTCAGGTACTAGCCCCGGCCGGGAAAGGTACCGGCCATCATCGCGACAGCGTCAGAGCTAGTGAGACACTGCAGAAAAGATACCTGTGGCAGGTGTCGTCGAGACATCTGACGTCTAGCCGACGTGAGGTGCGTGCGACGTGACGGTGCCGCCTGGCAATTAATTGCGGATACCTCTCGATATGCTATGCTCTCTACACAGAGAGCACTATGCTAACCTCTCACCTCTGCTCCAAAGGAGCAGGAGCTTGCGCCGGTGGTGGCAG